GTAAACACATGCTTCTTAGTCTTGCTCAAAATGGAGGCCTTTCTCAAAGAATGGAGGACAAAACAAAAGCTCAAAACCTGGCCATAGAAAAGCTCAAAACACTTCTAGAAATGTAAACCCATGTTTCTTAGTCCTGCTCAAAATGAAAGCCTTTCTCAAGAAGAATGGAGGACAAAACAAAAGCTTAAAACCTGGCCATAGAAAAGCTCAAAACACTTCTAGAAATGTAAATCCACACTTCTTAGTCATGCTCTAAAGGAAGGCCATTCTCAAGAAAAATGGAGGCCAAAACAAAAGCTCAAAACACTCCCAGAAATGTAAACACATGCTTCTTAGTCTTGCTCAAAATGGAGGCCTTTCTCAAAAAGAATGGAGGACAAAACAAAAGCTCAAACCCTGCCATAGAAAAAAAAGCTCAAAACACTTCTAGAAATGTAAATCCACGCTTCTTAGTCATGCTGAAAAAGAGGACATTTTCAAGAAAAATGGAGGACCTGACCATAAAAAAAGCTAAAAACACTCATAGAAATGTAAATCCATGCTTTTTAGTCCTGATCAAAAGGGAGGACATTCTCAAGAAAAACAGAGGACCTGACTATAAAGTTCAAAATACTCCTAGAAATGTAAATCCATGCTTATTCATGCTTAAAAGGGAGGATGTTCCCAAGAAAAATGGAGAACCTGACCAGAGAAATGCTCAAAACACTCCTAGAAATGTAAACTCATGCTTCTTAGTCATGCTCAAAAAGGAAAAAATTCTCAAGAAAAACAGGCCCTGACTATAACAGCTCAAAACACTCCTAGAAATGTAAATCCATGCTTCCTAATCCTACTCAAAAGGGAGGACATTCTCAAGAGAAATGGAGGACCTGACCATAGAAAGGCTCAAAACACTCCTAGAAATGTAAATCCATGCTTAGTCATGTTCAAAAGGGAGGACATTCCCAATAAAAATGGAGGACCTGACCATATCAAAGCTCAAAAACACTCTTAGAACTGTAAATTCATAGTTCTTATGCTCAAAGGGGGGGGGGGATCCTGAAGAAAAATGGAGGACCTGACCATAGAAATGTTCAAAACACTCCTAGAAATGAAAACTCATGTTGCTTAGTCATGCTCAAAAGGGAGGACATTCTAAAGAAACAAGAGGACCTGACTATAAAAGTTCAAAACATTCCTAGAAATGTAAATCCATGCTTCTTAGTCCTACTGAAAAGGGAGGACATTCTCAACAGAAATGGAGGACTTGGCCCAAGAAAAACTCAAAACACTCCTAGAAATGTAAATCCATGCTTGTTAGTCCTGCTCAAAAGGGAGGACTTTCCTGAAAAACAGAGGTGTTACCCAAGAAAACTGAAAAGACTCCTAGGAATGTAAATTCATGTCTCATGCTCAGAAGGGAAGACATTCTCAATAAAAATGGAGGGCAAAACAAAAGCTCAAAACACTCCTAGCAATATAAATTAAAGGGAGGATATTCTCAAGAGAAATGGAGGGCCTGACCATAGAAAGGCTCAAAACACTCCTAGAAATATAAATTCATGCTTAGTCATGTTCAAAAGGGAGGACATTCTAAAGAAAAATGGAGGACATGACCAAAGAAAAGCTCAAAACACTCCTAGGAGTTTATTACACGGTTAACCTCATTTTAACTCCATTTTAACAGCGACGTCGTCTGAAAATCTAACCGTTTTTGCGGGTTTTTTCCAATTTAAAGCCCCGTTTCCACACGGGATTTCCCCCGTGTGATAAACTCTAGAAATGTAAACCCATGCTTCTTAGTCATGCTCAAAATAGTGGACATTTTGGAATTTCTCCTGGGCAGAAGGTGGAAATATAGGTCATGTCCTGGAAAAGGAGGATGTCAGGTCACCTTGCCCAGGGCAGCTGGGCTTTTTATCAGCAGAAGACAACTCTTAAAGCACACATTAAAGAGGTCCCCAGCTCCTAAAATAAATCTTTAAACCAATAGGACAGCTGGAGGAACTTAATTGTTATTGTTGTGTGTCTTCAAGTCATTTCTGACTTATAGTGGCCCTAAGATAAAACCCTATCATGGGGTTTTCTTGGCCAGTTTCTTCAGAGGTTTGCCATTGCTATCCTCTGAGGCTGAGAGAAGGTGACTTGCCCAAGGTTAACCCGTGGGTTTATATGGCAGAGCTGGGATTCAAACCCTGGTCTCCAGAGTCCTAGTCCAGTGTGCAAACCACTGTACCACACTGGCTCTATCCTTACTTTAGTATTCATAATATATCTTTTCACTTCAGGATCTTGTCTAGTTCCTTCACAGCTGCCCTTCCAAGTCCTACCCTTCTCATTTCTTGACTGCAGTCTCCATTCTGGGTTTTTATCCAAGAATTCAAGCATCCACAGCTTGAAAATATTTTAATATATGAATTCCAAAAAGCAAAGCTTGATTTTGCCATTTTATATAAGGGACACCATTTTATTATGCCACTGTATTTAATGGCACTTGAACATCCATGGATTTTGGTATGTATGAGGGATTGGGTCCTGGAACCAATTCCCAGCAGATACCAAGGGCCCACTGTATTTCAACATTTTATAAGGAAATAAAATTGGCCAAATTAAACACTTTTAGTTAAGTAAATTCAATATTTAACTCAACAAATCTGTAAATTTTACACATAAAAAAATTGGGAGGAGGAGGCATCAGATTCTTCAAATCTCATGCTCTCCTTGAGCAATTTTCATGCCCTGCCATCTGAGAACCACTGATCTAATTTAAATTTATGTAAATCATCTGTGATCGTTAATTTTCTTTTCTGTAGGAATTTTGCTGGCAAACCACAAGGTCCTTATATTTCTCTCTGT